TAGTACTGATACATTTATAAGTGTATTATATCAGTGTAAATATGTATTTTATGTTTTTATTATGTCAGAATATATTTTGTTTGTTTACTTTTGAAAAATTAATATTTTTTTAAAAAAATAATCTTTGTTTTCACTTTTTGAATATACTCGCGTCCTCCTTGTAGAGTTATCCCGCCCCCTTAGGGGATGCGTTCTACAGTTTGAAAAACACTGATTTCTTGACATCACAGCACAGAAAAAAATGAGAAAATCCACAAAGGCGGTAAAACATTACATAACTATATACAAACAGCCAAGCTGCTGCTAAACTTAGAATCAAGATTAGATTGAGAGTTGACTTTTGCTCGCCTTAGGATAAGAACTAAACTGAGAGAGAGTCTCTCTTTGAGTCACTAAGAGGCATTGTTAGATTGGTTATCATTAATATTTTTAAAGAGTTGTACAGTAGGTGTAATATTAGGAAAAGTACTGTGAATTTTTTCACAAGTTTATATTTTTTTCGAATACTTGTGATATTCTCCTGCGGGGGGGGGTACCATCTCTTCATCTACGGGACTTAGATTTGTAGGAGGAAATGATTAATCACCCAAGTCAGTCATAATAAATCTAGTTTATTATTGTCTAAATATATTGAACAACACAAGCCTTACTATAGGAATGCAATCATGAGGGATATAACGTATTCCCCTAAATTCTAAGTAAATAGCGCCTGGAATCCTAACCACTTACCTTGAAGCCAAGTTATCCTATGAATCTTTATCTTCCTTAATTTCTTTAATATTCTAAAGCACGTTCTATAATAACACTTCTAAGTTTAATGTCTTTACCCTCAGCTCACGGCGTTCAGCATCTCACCTTCCTTCCGCCTTCTTCTTCGCGATAACAAAACCTTCACTATGTATCTACTAACTAATCTGAATATCACGATTTCTTCTTGAGAGGGTTGACTGTGAATTAATTCAATGATGTCCCCAAAGATTCCCCAAGAGGATTAATAGGAAAAACGTGGTAAAGCCCCGTCACAAAGTAAACTCATATAAATTTCAATGGTGGTTCTTAAAAACTATTATTCAATATGATTTAATTTGCGAATTTGTACCTCAATAAAACGTTGTGTAATGCATCATTCTAAATTCAAAATGAAAAATAATGTGCTCATCTCAAATTCAGAGTTGATGGGTATGCAATAAATTTTAACAAATTGCTGAAATTACAATACCTATTATCGAATTCAAAGTGTTATTCAATACGATATAAATAAATTATTTTTGAATTAAAAAGTTCAAATTTTTTAAAGAAAAAGCAGGAATTGCACTCTTTTATTATCGTAACAATTTAATTTATGTTTTTAATAATGTAATGATGAATGGACTTTAACATTCAGTTTGTTGAACTGATATTTAAAATATCAATTTCAAAACTAAAACAACCTTTTTATATTCATCTTTCCTTAAAATTTAAGAATTCCTTTTAAACATAATTTAATACAACGTTTATTAAATTCTATGCACAAAGCAAAAACTAAACTTCATTTAAATGAATATTGATTAAATAAATTATTCAACCTTAATAACTTTTAAATATATTTGACAGAGTTTGTATTCATAAGTAAGCGTACTAAATTTCATATTCACCATCAGTGTCTAATTGATGTGAGATAGCAATTAATATTGTAAAGTTATGAATTTTTTATGTGCTACTTCAATGCTGAATTCATTTATCATTTTTGTTTAGGAAAATATTTAAATTTGAGAAGATTATCAATAAAATTTATAAATGAAACTTAGAGCTATGATAATGGAACATGATAACTTTTTGGAACTGAAAAGACAGTTGAAAGTATGCTAAATATATGTAGATGCATATTTAATGCTTTATAATAGGATGAAAAAATTGAATATTAATTTAGAAGTAATATTTCCTGTTTCTCAAAAAGTCAAATTTGTTATAGATTTATTTTTTAAATAACTAAAAGGAAATAGATTTAGAGAGGATAAAGTTTTATATATTATGTTTAATTAATTATTTACTTAATATCTGCATTTGAAATTTACTTTTTTCTAATATATTAGTATTTGATAGTTAATACTCAAAAGAATTTCAGTTGATAATCTTGTGTTCTTCATTGATTTTCAAATTAAGATCAGGGAAAAAATTGAGCAAGCGGTTTTTTTCTTTCATTAATAACGCATTTTAACACACGCTGTTTTCATTTCCCATTTGAAAACCTTAAATTAAATTTGGCCTTTAAATTATTTTGTACTTAAATCTAATAATTAATGAAATGAAATTCATGATACTACTCTTATTTTATTTCATTAATTTTTAGAATAGTTACTATGTAATAAAATTTACTGTACTTTTATTAAATGTGTTCTTTATTATACTGATTGAATAAAATATTCCCTTTGATTTACAAAAACTTAACTTGAGATTTCTACTTCAGGTAATTAAATATAATGTCTCAAGCTGTCTTATATTTTTTATGCATGTTGTAAAATAATTGTTCTGTTAATTAATAACATTTTAACTCAAGTCCATAATTTTTAGAATATTAATCACATAAGTGTTTTTGATCTCTTTCTCTATTTTTAAGAAACGAACTGGTATTAATTAACATTAACTGACTGTTTCTTAAAATTACTCGTATATTCATTTTTAAGAAAAAAGTAATTATTCATAATTATGACAAGTATATTGAACTACTTTTTTGAAATACTAAAAAAATACTATTATTTTGAAGAGAGTGATAATAGAAGATACTATTATTTTGAAATAAAGGGTTCTGCTTTTCAAACGTATAGAATTTTTATTTATGGTTATACATATTATCGATTATCATTCTAAATTCTTTACCATAATATTTGTTCTTTAAACAATGATCAATAAATTAATTCCCTAAATTTACAAAAAAGTTAAATATATTTTTTTAAAAAATTAAGTTAAAAAAACATCTTATTCAAGAGATGGCTCAATATAAATACATAACAATTTTTGCTAAATCCTACGCAATATTTTTTAGTATGTTGTTCAAAGAAGAGTAAATTATATTTTTTTCTAAAAGATTCCCAAATATATGTTTTTTAAGTAATTTTTAGATAAAAATTATATCATATACGAATTTTATAATTTTAAAAAGTAATTAAAAATAAGATTAAATTACTTTTCAATATCATAATAAACTGAGTTGTATAATTTGCATAACAACCTTCCTAACATAGTGTAAAATCCGTGTTTCTTACGTTCTTGTAATTGCAAAAAAAAATGCAGTATTTTTGAATCTTTTATGTGAAACATGCAACACATTAACAGCTAAATATATTTATTTTTTTATTAAGAAACTCGTTAAATAAAAATCTTTAAGCAAAAATAACAACTGCGATACTCGGAAGTTGTAATAAGTTCCTTTTCATGGACGACAATGCACCATGTCATCGCACAGTAGCTGCCGAACAGCTGTTAGAGAGTGAGGATATTGAACGTATGGATTGGCCGGCATGATCTCTGGATCTCAATCCCATCGAGCATGTATGAGATTTTCTAGGCAGACGCTTGGCAGCTCGTACCTTACCACCAGTAACGATTCGGGAGCTTCGATTGGCGCTGCAAGACGAATGGGCAGCAATGCCTCAACAACTCATTGACACCCTCATTCTCAGCATGGGCAGACGCTGTGAAACCTGCCTAGCAGTCAGGGGAGATCATATCCCCTACTAAAGACCGGATGTTTCTTGCTGGACACCCATCACAGGGATGTTTCGGCCTTCAGTCGCATTGCGCTCCATGCCACTTTTTCAATCAAGCTTCTTTTTATCCCTCTGATTTCTCTTTTAGTAAGTGTTGCTTACATATTACACATGTCCTTACGTATTGGGGATCTTACGGTATTAAATGTGTTGATTTGGAAAGCTTTTGTACAAATTTACATTGAAAAAACCGTCTCGTCCTTAATTTTTGCACACCAGTGTATATGTATATATATATATATATATATATATATATATATATATATATATATATATATATATATATATATATAATATACAGTTGGACCTCTATATAACGAAGACACTAAATCCTGGAAAAAAGTTTGTTACTTGGATAATTTGTTATATAGAGACTTTCATCTTTTAATATACTTTATAAGCCACATAAATCAAATTTTAAATTCATAATCACTATATATTAAAAAAGTAATTATTTACACATTTTTAAAATTAATATTTATTTATTTTATATATCTTACCCATTAAAAACAAATGAAAAAAACTGCAAGGAAAATTAAGAAAAACAATGTCGAATATGTTACTGTATTTTCAATATTAAGAAAATAATTCTATATTAAAATTAACGAATTTTAAGGACATTTTCTATTTGAAAGCATACAAATAATATTAAACATACATTATTTAATAAATAGAAAACGGGACAACTCAATTGAGTGTGAAAGGAAATATCGAAGATGTTTCTAGTTAACTGGACAATGGGAGTTAATGGTTACACTTCTTGGATGAAACATCCAGAACTCAATTGCTCTCGGTGAGTTAGGATTTAATAAAAGCAAGTCAAGATTTATGACCACCATAAAATGTGTTAAAGAGAGAATAACTTGAAACGTTGAGAAAATTTTTAAATATAGGGAGAAAAAAAATTGAATCACAAAAGAAAAAGTTCGTTATATAGTAAATGCAATTCGCTATCATTTTACGAAGGAAATCGTGAAATGTTCAAGGTTCGAGGAAAAGTTCGCTGTATAGAAAAATTCGCAATAAAGAGGTTCAACTGTATATGTATACTAACTTGTTCAAAATTTCAATAGTTAATAAAAATACTTTCTATTCATCCATTCAAGTTCAAAAACATTTTTGGAAACTTGTAGTGGATGACACTTGATGTTAATACATTTTTTAAATAGGATTCATTAATTAAATTTAAAAATGAATAAATAGTAACAAACAAAAATGTTTAACAGCACAAAAGAAAGGAACACCGTTCGTTGTGTCCCTGTAGCGCAATAATAGCTCTTTGGAATATAAATCCAAAGGTCGTGCGTTCGAATCCCACCTGAGATGGCCTTATTTGAGGTAATGTGATTTCTTTTTTACTGTAATATTTTATTAGAAAAAATAAATTCAATTAATAAATAAAATGTAATAAGCAAACAGAAATAGTCCAGCACCCTATACAGAAAGAAAAATGGACCATATATGCAAGAAAAATAGCTTTCTATTGTGTCACTTAATATTGTGATTATGCCATATCTACATATATATATATATATATATATTTATATTAATTGTAACTGTTTAATAAAGAGTAACTAAAATAAAAAATTTCTTTGTTGACATAAGTAGGAACTGACTTAATTTTTTTTTTGTATTTCTTGTTTTTTTTTTGGATTGTTATACTCTTAGATAATAACCATTTTAATATGTACATAAATAATATAGATTTACTTAAATAGAGAAGATACACGGACCTAAGGTACAATATCATGGCATAAAAATTTCAAAAATCTAATGAACTCCTTTTATTTACTTTGCTTTTCTATCCTTATTTACAGCATTATATTTAATTGTGTGCAATTGTTTGTTTTTTAATTATAACAGATTAGATAATGCATATGATTTAGAAAAATGTTAAGAAATCAATGAAAAAGATATTCTTTAATGTCTAGATGTTGGGAAAAATTTGAAAATCACTGAGCTAAACACTTAAATATCAAACTAGTTAATTTCTTTTAGATTTTGACAGTTATATATATATATATATATCTTTGCTGTTAATTTAAGTTTATTTACTTTGGCATAAGATTTTTAAAAGGGTATATATCACCAACAAGTTGTAAGTTTAGTTCCAACTATAAAACATTTTACGTATTTTTTTTTACATTTAAAATTGCAGTTTACTTGCACACTTGCTTAAATAATGTTTCATGACTTTATCAATCCTTGATGTTGAATGTTGGCTAAACAATGTTTACGTTTTTTCATTGCTGACATAAAGTTATGTTTTTAATTAAATAAATATAATTTTTTTCATGAGACCTTAAGACAGTCTACAACTATATCCCTGTTTTCTGTATCTGCCATTTAATAATATATGAAAAGATTCCTACTATTATATAAGTTTATCTATAAAAATAGGAAGTATTTATTTATTTTTATTTATTTTACAAATGTCATGCACTACAATAGCATCTATGCCATTAGTGGACGAGATCTCCAATATTTTTCGACAGTTGAATTACGGCTAATTAGTGGAGGGCACACGACAAAATGTTCAGCGGTCATAGGTTGACCATAGTCACGAATAGGAAGTATTAATTCTAGGAAACTGCAAGTTGATTCAAGTTACTGAATAGCACAAATCAGCGAATATTTCTGACTGATGAATTTCGTTATTAATCAGTTTAGCTTAGAGAGAGAGATGAACATATGAATCGTACACATAGGATGGTTTTTTCCGTACGAAATAACCTATAGTGTTACAAAAAGATATAAATGTTCGATATATTTGTTAAATCTAATTTTCATTGTGTGTTTTAATTGTATATTCTCTGCTTAAATGGTATTTTTTGCAAATTTTTGTACAGAAAGTGTCATGTTATTTTTATATGTCATATATTTTTATGTCTTTTTTATATATTCAAAAGCAGCTTTATATTTATACATTGATTAAATATGAATGGTCACATCTTTGATGTATTATAGGTATTGTGTTATATTATATTTTTGGTGGTGTTTATGTTGCTTTGGGGGTTTATTTTTTTACGTAATGTCTCCTGCATATTGAGCTGGATTGTTAAATTCTTTTAAAATTGTTCTTTGTATATATTCTTGGTGCGTTTATATTTATTTACTGTTATACTGTAATTACATTTTGAAATTGACGCGTTGAGTAATATTTATGCTGTGTTATTCCTTTGTAAAGTTTTTGTCACCTTTGTATTGTATATTAAGTGAATTACTTTTATGAGACGTTTATGTTGTATTCTAGACGTCTGATGCTGAGTGATTTTTTTATGGCATTCTCTCGTTGTGTGGTTTTCATGTTATGTACACATTGTGTCTTTTCATGTGCTCGTTTGTGTTCTCGTTGGGCGGTTTCATGCCGTGTTCTTGTTGTGTGATTTCATGTCATGTTCTCGTTGTGTGTTTTTCATGTCGTGTTCTTGTGTGTTTTTCATGTTGTGTTTTTGTGTGTTTTTCATGTCGTGTTTTTGTGTGTTTTTCATGTGTTTATGTGTGTTTTTCATGTCGTGTTTTTGTGTGTTTTAATGTTGTGTTTTTGTGTGTTTTAATGTTGTGTTCTTGTGTGTTTTTCATGTTGTGTTCTTAATGTGTGTTTTTTCATGTTGTGTGTTTTTCATGTTGTGTGTTTTTCATGTTGTGTTCTTGTTGTGTGTTTTTCATGTTGTGTTCTTGTTGTGTGTTTTTCATGTTGTGTTCTTGTTGTGTGTTTTTCATGTTGTGTTTTTGTGTGTTTTTCAAGTTGTGTTTTTGTGTGTTTCCCATGTTGTGTTTTTGTGTGTTTTTGTGTGTTTTAATGTTGTGTTCTTGTTGTGTGTGTTCTTGTTGTGTGTTTTCATGTTGTGTGTTTTCATGTTGTGTGTTTTCATGTTGTGTGTTTTCATGTTGTGTTCTTGTTGTGTGTTTTTCATGTTGTGTTCTTGTTGTGTGTTTTTCATGTTGTGTTTTTTGTTGTGTGTTTTCATGTTGTGTTCTTGTTGTGTGTTTTTCATGTTGTGTTTTTGTGTGTTTTTCAAGTTGTATTTTTGTGTGTTTCCCATGTTGTGATTTTGTGTGTTTTAATGTTGTGTTTTTGGTGTGTGTTTATGTTGTGTTCTTGTGTGTTTTTCATGTTGTGTTCTTATTGTGTGTTTTTCATGTTGTGTTCTTGTTGTGTGTTTTTCATGTTGTGTTCTTGTTGTGTGTTTTTCATGTTGTGTTCTTGTGTGTTTTTCATTTTGTGTTCTTATGTGTTTTTCATGTTGTGTTCTTGTTGTGTGTTTTTCATGTTGTGTTCTTGTTGTGTGCTTTTCATGTTGTGTCCTTGTTGTGTGTTTTAAATGTTTTGTTGTTGTGTGTTTTTCATGTTGTGTTTTTGTGTGTTTTCAAGTTGTGTTTTTGTGTGTTTTCCATGTTGTGTTTTTGTGTGTTTTTCAAGTTGTGTTTTTGTGTGTTTTCCATGTTGTGTTCATGTTGTATGTTCTATTTTTTGTTCATGTTGTATGTTCCATGTTGTGTTCATGTTGTATGTTCCATGTTGTGTTCATGTTGTATGTTACATGTTGTGTTCAAGTTGTATGTTCCATGTTATGTTCAAGTTGTGTTTTTGTGTGTTTTCATGTTGTACTTTCATGCAAGTTTCATGTTTGTTTTGCAGAGGAGAATCTGTATTCATTTGTATGGTTTTATTCATTTATTTATATAATTTTAATGATTTGTATAGTACTAATACTGAGCTGTTTTTATATGAAATTGATGATGCACAAATTACACTTATTGTGCGTTATTCATATTGTGTTTATAATATAAAAAAACATTGTGTATAGTACTATTAATTTTGTGCACTATGAGTACTATACTTCTGTTTCATCAACGTCATATCGTCATTTTATAGCGTCTCATCTTATATGCTGGTATTAGTTTCTTTTATATTTGGTCTCAATATTGTACGAGAGTTGAGGCGTGTCCTATATTTAAGCATCATTAATAATTCCAGGAATTACTTTTTGGGGGTTATAAGCGTGCATTTTCATTCAGTTTATATCGTTAAGATACCAACTTAATACTTATATAAAATTTATTTTATTTAATCGATTAAATATAATTAATGATGTGATTAATATGTTACATTTAATGTAAAATACTCAGATTATTTACATTAAAGCATCTCTGAAAATAATGTCAGTGTAAATTTCAATACCTTGAGAAAGTTATTTTGTTTAAAATTCATCGATGAACTCAAATGTTTCTTTTCTTTAGTTATATGTCTTGGTTGATGGTTTTTCAGAAATTAAATTACAGTAAAACTGAGATTAAGTATTTTTATTTATTAACATAACTATAATATATAGCGTTAGGTTTCATGTAATAGAATTAAGTTTCAAAAAAAATGTTTACCTATAGCTAGTATTTGACAAAATTCTAGAAATGCTGCTTCCCATTAAAAAAATATGTTTAAGAAAGATTTCGTTGAATTTATATCCTTGGTATTTATAGAAACATTGAATTTAATTGTGTCTGCTTGTGTGTGCTAAAACAAGACATCAACTAGCGTTTAACTCTCATCAGTCGAAAGTACTTCAAACAGCCATTTTTAGTCGGAAAAAATTGATATGTATCAATCCAATCCTTCATTTTAAATAAAATGTGATTCTTCAGATAATTTGCGATAAAATTTATAATGAAGAGATATAAATATCGAAATTATTTAATAATACACATTTTAAGTACCACAATAAATTTAGCATTGACATTGGGTTGGATGGGGGCACCTTAGCTATTTTCAACCTTTATCTCCTATAACTTTTTAGATGACTTTAAAAATGCTTTATATGGCTCTTTTTAATTATATATTACTTAAAATTAAAAATATGATTATTGCGAATTAAGAAAATAAAATAATTACATTTATGTGAATAAAAAATTTAATTAGAATTGACTGGACTAAAAGTGGATGAAAAAATCATGACTTAGAAAACTTTTCGAGATGTGAGTGGGTTGGCGAGCTGAGCCAAAGTGGTTACAGCACAGACATCCGAGTTAGAGAGACAAAGCTTGGATGTGAAAAGTTAAAATGAGTAGGTATAGAGTGGAGCTTCTGTGATTAGTTGATCAGAAAAGTTAGCTATTTTTACATTTAAGTCTGGTTGAGAAACTCGACAAATCATTGGGAAATTATGAGTTCGAACAAGTTGTGACGAATCTGTACGGAACCTTTCCACTAATATTCTTTGGCGTCTTTTTGGGGATTATAAATTCGCGTGTATATATTTCCAATCAACTCCAAAAGGTGAACGGGATATGCAAAGTAGATAGGGTATTTAAGTTGAGAGTTGTAAGCT